ACACAGATGGCGTCAAAGTTTAGTGCAAAGGAGGTCCACATAAAAATCAGAAACATGACCCAAAGATATAGGTAAGTCATTTTCCATTTAACCATTCTGAACACTAATTGCAAATGTACCATCTGGTGGGAGTCCTTCGCTGTGGAAACATTTTGACGCAGTCCACCAAATCATCGGTTTCAACTCAGCAAACAACGCTGAGATTTTAGAATCTTTTTCAATGGTAAAATTTCAGTTTCACACATAAATATATATGTACATATATTTTTGTAAAACTTTAAAAATACATAAAACTTCTTAATTTTAGGATATATTGACATCAGGACCGCAGTCGGTGCCATCCCCAGTGCCTCAGTCGTATCCATACGCTGCTGCTGCACCGTCATCAACCGCAGCACATCCACCGTCATCAACCGCAGCCCATCCACCGTCACCAACCGCTGTACCTTCACCGTCACCATCGCCTCAAACTTCGTCACCGCTTTCGTCGCCGGTGGAGTTGTCCAGTTCTTCGCCACTTGACACTTCGAACATATCTTCGACTGCAGCTTCCACATCCTCTAAAAGGAAAAGAAATTATATGGGTGAGGTGGGGCAATTAGCTAAAGAGCAAAACGAGCTGTTAAAAGTGGTCATAGACGACGGAAAAGTTTTAACAGCAGAATGCGTTAATGCTATTAAAGAGCAAAGTAGTGCTACAAAAGAATTCATTAGTTTAATGAAAAGCGTTTTGGAAAAAATGTAACTTTAAGTAGTATACATATGTATGTTTAAACACTCATGAACAAAAAAAAAATGGGTGTGCGGCATTTTGATAAATTTTGGCTTTTGTTTATTTAATGTTTATTAACATTTTACAAAATTCTAGCGTATAACAAAGAGCATATGTAAAATTCCACATTTCAAAGTTTCGAATTCATAAAAACTGTTTTAGTAATATATTTAGACAAGTTTTTGGTATGCAGTTTTTTAAACCATTAAATTCTATTATATTAAGTGCATCTTCAAGTAGCTGAGGATTCGAGCTGATTTTTAATAAATTTTTCTGCTGACCATATAAGGAAAATGTTTTCGCATACTCTACATGCGTAGAACCGTCAGCAAAAAAAATTATTAAAAATCAATGCGAATTCTCAGCCGCTCTGAAGATACACTTAATACACTAAAATTTTATGATTTAGAAAACTGCATACCAAAAAATTGTCTAAATATTCTGCTAAAAAAGTTTCATAAATTTTTCTAGATGTTGTACAAGCTTTGAAGTGTGGAATTTTACTTATGTTGTTTGTTGTATAAAACGCTAGAATTTTATAAAAAGTTAATAAACATTAAATAAAAAAAATCTACAACCAAAATTTATCAAAATGCCGCACACCCATTTTTTTGTTCATGAGTATACTTATATGTAAGTATGGCAAAGTTGGAGGTGATCTGCCTACTCAAAAAAGACAAAAAAAAAGTAGAATAAAAATTGATTTTATTTTGGTTTTAATCTAATTTTAGGCACATATATATGTATTTATGTA